CATTCTAACAAGTACAAGACACTCTGTGGGGATTCAGGACAACGTGAGCAATCTACCTGAGTGACTGGGGAGAAGAAATAAATGTTTACATCTCCAAAAAACGACAGAATTACAAAAATCCAGCTCAGCTCTTGTTTCTGACAGAACTCACTGTACTCCACAGAAGGCCCTGCACAGCCCCTTTGTCATCTGGCCGTGGCATCCAAGGACAGAGACCACACTGCCCCATCCAGACCACATCACAAACCCAAGCCCAAGAATAAGGGGTTTCAAAACCCTGATCCTCCACTGCCCGAGAAGACCTGGGTTGATCAGCCAAGATTCAGACTCTGCAACTTGTCCATTTGACCATCTAATGCCAGAGGGAAGCAAATTCTAGGAGCAGCTTACACTGGACAAGGGATCTACGTCAAGGCTGGATGAACGAGATGCCCAAAGAGTGGCTGTAGACCATAAAAAGAAATCCCTCACACCATCTGTAAGGACTTCCCAGGACTCTGCACACAGACAATACCAGATCACGCTACACATCTGGCCCTGATGCCACGAGCAGGAAATACTTCCTCTCTTAGTCTACCCAGACCTGCAAATGCAGGGGAATCCAAAAAGAAAAACAAAACAAGCAAACAAACAAACAAACAAAAAAATCATAGGGAAAAGGTCTGACCTTGCTGCTCTTTACAGCCCAGTGGGGAAGGAAGGGTGACAGGAAAGGAAGAATCCTGAGTTCTGCCAGTGTGTCCAGTTCACATTCTTTTGAAAAAAAAAAACCCAACTTCAAAGTCTACCCAATACTTAAAATAAGATGGGAAGTAGTGGGACTAACCTGGAGTTTACAGGCAGAAGGAGAGGAGGGAACAAACAAAGCCCTGCTTTTCAAGGTCCATCATTTGCTTTCCAATAAGATCTCTCCCTGTTACTCTGGCTCAGGCTTATCAGCCAAGGGAGGCAGACACCCCACCCACAGTTAACTTAATTGGAATCAGACACACAAATCCACTGGATAGCTCTAAAAAAAAAAAAAATCCCAGGTTGGCCTGGGTGTTATTCCAAAAGGGCATGCCCTCCATTTGCTGCTCTGGAATACCAGCTTCACATGGCTTTAACCAGCAGCAACTCCCATGAAAGGGAGTTGTTGACACTGTTTCTTCCCTAGAAGAAGGACCAGATGTGCAGAACTGCACCACTTACAGCCCACGTGCCCAGCCAGACAGGAAACCAGCCAGGCCACAGACAAGGTCCACACAGTGTGCACAGCCCCTGCCTGACTGACTGGGGCACTGAGGGGCCAGGGCTGTGCTCAGCTCTGCACCGACCTCTGGGAGAACACAACACGTCTAGCAAAGACCTCGGGGTTCAGCATCACCAGCCCATCACCAGACAAAAGGCTTCCCTCACCAAATAAAGTTCTTTTGATGTTTTGTGACCAAACTGTCACCAGCATTCTGTACCCAATCCACAGACTAGATCCCAAATTAAAATATGCAATAACCACCTTTACTCTGGGCCATCAGCAGACAGGACAGCAGACATCCAGCACCCAGTGCCAGCCCATGCCAGTGAGCCACAGCAGCAGCTCCAGCAGCAGCAGTTACCCTGCCCTTTCTATTCCTCTCATTCCTGAAGAGGAAGGATACATCCCACAGCCAGCAGGGCACATACTCAGTGCCCTTGGACACCATCAATGTTACTACAAGTAGCTCCAGCTCGTTGAACTGGGAGCAATTCCCAACCATGTGCTTTCTGCCCCTCCAATAAGTGCTGGAAGAACAAGTAGCTCCATCCCATCCTGGAGGAACCTGAACACAAAACACAACTTGGTGGGCAGCCTCACTAACTGCAAACTTTGACTGAAGTTTTACCTGCTCCTGTTTCATACAGGGCTCTGCACGCCAAAGCATCTAAATTTCTGCACCAGTAAGTCACACAAAGATATTTTCATGGCCAAGGAGCTTCTCTGTGGACAGAGGCTGCTGTCCTTTTGCTCTTCAGGTTTGTTTTGGTTTTTAAATAAATCCCTAAGGCAGAGGGGTGAGGGAGGAAATTGCTTACATGTGAAAATATCTAATGAACATGCTAAGTCAAAGATTCTCCAACCTAATAGAGCAGGTAAATATCAGAACTGGTAGGCTATGTATAGTAAAAAGACAAACTATTAATAGTCTTCAGTATTCAAAAGGGGGTACAAAACTACTGCCACCCCATCGCTGCTGCTTTTTAAGGATTTTTTAAGTCAGCAGAGTTATAAATGATCTACTGTTACAGAGTGCCTTCCAGCACTTGGAAACAAGACAGATTTTTATCAAGGAACAGCAGCCGCAGGAGTACACTCATTTCATCTCGCTGCTAGCCATACACCAGAGCCCCAGTGAGTTAAACCCTGCAGCAAATTTCCTAAAACAATGGCTTCAAGTTGTCCTGGACTTCCCAAGGAGAGCAGGATTACACATCATGGCATAATCCACTGGAGGCAATCAGCAGGATTTTCCAGAGGGTCATTCTAAGAAAATCAGGGAAGAATGCTCGGCTGTTACAACCTGCCACTGCTTGCTCAGGAACCAATTTGCATCACCAGAGAGGTGTCAAACCATGGAGCTGCAGTTTAAAAAGCCCAAAAGAAAGTGTTTTACTGGGCTGTGGTTTGAAAGGGGCAAGGAGAGATTCCCGTTGGATGAGGAGGGGGAAGGAACACGCACAAGTGGGTGAGTGTGACCCGCAGACCACCACGGGCACTGGACCTGGCAAGGGCAGAGCCAGTGCACATGAGCCCACTGAAGAGTTAATCACGCTGAGGAGGGTCAAAAGGGCTCCTGAAGGAAGGAGATGGATGGAGGGAGGGAGGGAAGCAGAATGGGGAATGCACCCCAGCCCTGCTCCCACCTCAGCACCCGTCACTGCCAGGAAAGTCACAAAAAAACAAATCCCCATTTTGCTAAAAGGAAGATTACTTGGTGTGAGGGGAAAAAAACCCAAACAAATTCTCCCCTTGCACCTAGAGAGAGACAGAGACATTTCATTAAATGCCATTAATCTCCACAGACCCAAGCATTAGCTAGTTAATTAGACTAAAGTACAGTCACATTTTAACGCTGAGCATTTGCTATTCAACTGGGATAAATGAACAGCTAAAGTCCAAAACCTTAATTCAGTATCTAATTAAAAAACAAAAAACAAAATATCCAGATTATGAAATGCTGGCCAGAATGACACGTCATAATAGATGTAAAATCTATTCTTTATTGCATCTGCTTTTCTCCAGTTTCCAAATAGGGCTGTTTTCAATCTTCAGATTTTTTTCAAATGCCCCATAGACATCCTGACACTTAGAAAGGACGAGTGTGTAAAAAGCAGCAACAGACACTGCTGACCTCTCCAGAGAGAGCAAGATCCTGCCAGGAGTGGCATCCAGCCTAAGTTCCAGCATTTGCCCCACACTCGAAAGATGTCTGTTACCAAACACCAAGGGGAAAAAAAAACACCCTACGCAGAGGAAAACAAAATCCCCTTTGTAAAAACAACCTGATTTCGCATTCTTTAACCCGAAAATTTAACTCACTAATATCTTCCACGTAAGACATGCCCTGGTTTTTTTAATTGTTAGAGAAGAATCACATGGGACAGCTTAACAGCTCTGTTGTAAGCTTTATAAACTTCTCCAAATAACACTGTAGAAACAGATAACTGGTAATTGAAGACAGTTTAAAATGTAAATAAGCCTTTAAAAGGTATTGGGAAGGGGGAAAGGAACATCAGTCACTGCACAAGACCAAAATTCTGGTAACTTTACATCGCATCTTACAGACAGAATCAATCCAACAACATAATCCAGAAGCCCCACACATTATAAACTCTTTGCTCAGCACAGAAACAAGCCAGGCACACCATTATTTACCAGTTAGTTATTAGATATGCCCTAGGAAGAAAAGAACCTCTAAACATCTCCCTACATTAATCTGGTTTAAAATTCTGCAAGTAGGCTGTTGGAGTTTGCTCCTTTTTTTTTTTCCAAGAACTCATTCCCACCAGCTTTAGACCACTTTTCCTTGCTGACTTGCATCCACAAATCTGCAGCCTTGCCTTTCCATCTTTTTAATCAGAAGACTGAAGTAACCCAAGATGACTAGAGCATATACAAGTGCCATACACCAGCTGAATTGAGTTTTTTCCAACAGACTCTCAAAAACAAAGACAATGACAAAAGTTTTCTTTCAGCCTCTGGTTTTCAAAATTCACACACTGCACGTTTGGCTTTGGAACTGCTTTGTTTTCATTAGGCACAGCCTAAAGGGCAGCAGCCACTCCTACTGCACGGGCAGTGCCTCCAGGAGCGATGGCACGCAGTGGGTTTGGAGGCAGCACACAGGCAGAAGTGTCTCTGCCTATCCCTGTCCCTTCGTGGAGACTGGTCACACCATGGCCAGGTCACTGCTCCAGCCTGACCAGCTGGACACTCAGACCTCATTGTCCCTCTGCTCTTGCAAAATATACCCTGTGGCCCCAAGAGCTCAGGGCCTCATCAGAAACTTGCTATCCAACACTCACTGGTCTCCACACACATCTCAAGTTATACAAAAGAAAATTTGCAAACAATGAAGGCAGAGATATATTCCCATCCACTACAACCATTACAACCACAGAACTGAAAGCTCAGCTCAAAACAAGCCTGAAGTCTGTACTTAATCCAAACACTCTCCACAAACACCCTGCAGAACACGCTGTGTGGAGCAGCCCCACGGACGCGGGGCTGCGGCCGCGAATCCCGACGGATCCGGGACCGGCTCTGCCTTTCGGCCGCACCGACCACCCAGCTCTGCACGGACACGGTCAGACACGGCAGCACAGAGCTCTCCCCTGTGCCACAGCCACTCACTGATCCCCTCAGACGCCGAGCACTCCGGCTTTAAAAGCTTTCATTGCCAATTCCCCGGCTGAAACCCGAACTGCCTGGCAACAATGACTCTCTGTGTGCCTAAAATCCTATTATCGATCCTCCTACTTACCTTGGGCTGTGCTCGTCGGGGAAACGCAACTTTAGGGTCAATCTGAGGAAAAAGAAAGGGGAAATCAACAAGATAGCTTTGGTTGTCATTGCAGAGTATTTTGGTTTTAAATCATTGAATTATTAATCCCTCATTTCTCAGGCTTGTAGTTCAGCACACCGGGTCATCCAGAACCATTCTGGAACTGATGGGTCACAGACTGGGTTTGTCTGGGGAGGGAGATGGGAAGAGAGGAAGAAAACATCTCTTCTGCACACCTCTATCATCTTCTGGGAAACGATCCCCACTGGTGCTCGGGGAGCTCTGGATTAGTCTCTGGGCGCTGCCTCTACCACCAAAACTGCGTGTTAGGGATTATCTGCATGCTCTGGAGGTTGCACAGGAAGAGGGCCAGCATTCCTGACCAACATCTTAACTTGCTGGGTTTGACACCTGCACCTTCCCACGGTTGGGTTTGGGGTTACAGGGGTTTTTTCTGCTCTGTTTTGTCAACTGATGAGCAACACCACACTAAAAAGGAAAGTCAAAACCAAAGTCAAACTATTCACATTTCAATTATTAAAACTAAAGTATCAGAAGGGCTAGATGCTCCTTTGTAACTACATGCCAAATTGATCTGGTTGCCAGCTCTCCAAGAATATAAGTGAGCAATGGAGAACCAAAAAGGGGCATTTATGGGATAGGGTGGGAAGAGAGCAGGGGAAGACACAAACACGGGCAGGTTTTGTGCACGTGAAACATACAGGCACTTACAGCAGAAGAAAACACGCTCCTGGAAAAGGTTTTCCATGAAGGAGTTACGTCACCACAGACACAAAAAGGAAGGGGGGGAAAAAAAAATCCTTGCTCTACCCCACATTCCCTTAAGATGCAGTTGACCCCCATTGTGCTGCATCCATTACAGAGTGTGCCCACTCTGCAATTCCCAAACGCTCCTTCTGCACTTTTACACACAACTTCCACACGGGTCATCTCTAAAAAGGGACTCCTCTCTCCCATGACAAAATGACTTAAAACCAAAAAGACACCACCACAGATGCATGGCTGGATGGAAATAAACACGTTAACAACTGCCCAGTTTAAACTGCAATAAAATGCCTCCGTGCTGCTGGTTTCACCTCCAGCTCTCAGAAGCACCTGCATGCAGACATGTTCTACAGAATCTGGAAAGGATGTTTGGAAGTACTAAATCCTACCTGAACTGTGCAAGCTGGGACTGCTTTCAGTGTTGTCTGTGTAACTAACTGATGACACTAACATGTTAAGCATATTCAGAAATAGAGGCTTTCTTTCAGAGTTTGGGTTTGGCTTTTGTTGGGTTTTCTCCCCTCGAGCTAACCTTGACAAGGAAAAGGGAGACATTTCCCTTTGGTACTGTTATTCTGTGGTGATAAATATTCCTGGCACTGCTAAATAACCACGGGCCTCTCCTAAAAAGCAGCTTTACTCAATTAATTTGTCCAAATGGGAAATATCACAAACATTTCATGTGCAACTGATAAACTGATTTGTCTCCATCAGATACAAATGTAGCATCTGTTTTAAGACACACCTGAGAAATGAGTGATTACATGCCACTTTATTGTTCAAAAAGCATAAAAAGTAAAATTATTTATCTAGAAAGCTAACCTTTTCATAGAGATTAACATTATCTACAAATATGTTCAGCACTGACTAGGCATTTGTCTACTGGGGAAATACAACAGGTACGGATTTTCCACAGCGGTACCCAAAGGTGAAGGCAAATTTGCACATTCCTGTTTGTTTCAAGAGTACAGTTTTTCTCACCAAAGTATAACAGACCCACCAGAAGGACATCACTGCAAAGTCCCTCTGGTTAAAAGCAGGAAGAGCCATTAAACTCCAAAGCAACACATTCATTTTGAAGGTCAGTTCAAAGAGCATGAAGTCCTTTGCACCACAGCGACAGATTTTCTTAAAGAACTGAATTTTCCTTCCCCAAACCTTTCAAATAAACACCATCAGCCTTTGAAGACAAATACTAGCAATGGATGTGGCAAATCCATACCTTTTGCATAACCCTGTCAACTATTTAAACAACAACCAAAAAGAAAAAAATTAAAAAAAAAAAAAGAAAACAAAAAACAAAGTTCTACCAAAAAAAATTAGTTAGTTAGGTACAATTCTACTTACTGTATCTACAAGTCCTCTAGGAAATGACTATAATACTATTTCTGATATGAATGGCCATTACCTAAACAAAGCTTTAAACGTAACTGTAAACAAGAGCGACGTTTCCATGCCAATACCCAACCGATCTGCCTCCTGTGCTGAACGTTGAAACAGAGTCAAATGCCTTGTTATACTGCACAACAGTTACTACAATACTCTACAAATACACGCCTGAAAGGACCTGCCTGGCTCTGTGTTTGTTTCTGATTCTAAGGGCAATTTCATATTTGGATTGATTCAATCATTATCACACAACCCAACTGAGGGAATTTGTCCTGGTGAAGCTCTTTACCCCTCCCCCAGAGAAGAGCAAATTAATACATTGCAGGGACTAGACTATGATACAGGAAAAAAGCTGGGGGAGGACCTAATTATAGTCAGAAATATGACAGGGTGTCCTCTCATGATTTATTTTTTTTAAAAACCCTCATTGAAGATACTGTTTGCCTTTGTTCTTCTTATCTAAATTTATCTTTAAAAACACATAGAGCATATAGCTGTACATGAAAAGTCTGGTGAGTTTAATCTCAGGAGCACGGTTGAATCAGTTATCTTACCATATCTGATTAAACCTAAAATCAAATTATTAAGGCATGTGAAAGCATGGGCTTCGTGCTCAGACAAGCCCAGCAGAATCTGTAGGTCGAATTAAAACACTAGATTCCACCTGCTTCTATGAGAGCTTTGGGCTTTTTGTTTCCATATAAATTGCATTTTTTAAAAATCATGCACTCATGTTTGCTCCCTGCTCCTCCTATTCTTCATTTAACTATAATCTTGCACACACAGGCACCCACGAGATGTTGCAGCACCGAGACAGGATTCCTCCTAACACCACGCTCAGGTTAAAATAAAACCTTTAAGCCCCAGAACACAGACTATAAAACCCAGTTACAGTAAGGAACACGCTCGATCCGTCCAGCAGAAGCTCTGCAGTTCCACCAGCACGAGCCTTCCCTTCCCAAAACACAACCCCCTCCGGAGCCAGCAGCACCAGAGCAGTGATGACCTCTACCAGTGTCCTTCCCCCCTCCCCTCCCAGGTCTGCCGAGGCTGAAACTACAACAAAGTAGGAGGCACAAAACTTCATCTTTTTGCATGGCCTTGATCACAGGGAGAAAACAGGGCCCGGAGCTGCACTCTCTCCATACCTTTTGTTTGACCCAGTACCGAAAATGCCGTACTGGGGCAAGGGGAAACTCGGGGTGGAATTTTTTTTTTTTTTTTTTAAGCAAATGAGATGTTCATTAAAAAAAAAAATAGATCAGCTGAATCTCATGAGCATTTTTTTCCTTATGTTATGCACTGGAGATTGAGCACAGCAAAAAGCTCTGGAGAAACAACAACACATTAGGACTCGTGCTTCTCTACCACAGCCACTCTCCACCTCTCGCAGAGCTTCCCATAAATTAACGCGTGCGTTTCGTAAGGGCCCTGCCATCACAGGTGAGGGGACCTCTCCAAAAAATGACTTTGGGAAATGACACGAGCAGCAGCTTTCACGGTTTGACAGTAAGTCACTCCCACCTTGAAACGCGTGCACCAATATATAAATAATCAATCAAAAGAAGCACAAAGTTCCCTGCAGAAAGCATTCTGCAGCCCAACACCGAAAAAAAAAGTTGGATTTTACTCCTCAGCTTTTTCAATGTCACCGCTCAATAAAATATAAGGCCGGGGGAGGAGCCAGCGGTCGGTATGGGGGAATTCGGGCTTAGAAAAAAAAAAAGAAAGTTGCCTCTTTTTGCAAGTTAAAGGCAGAGCCCAGAAAAAAATAGAAAGGAAAACCCCCAGCCATGCAAGGTCCCGGTTCAATGACAGCCTGACAGCGGCCCGAGCGGGGCTCGGCGCGCCCGGGTCGCGTCCCCGCCGTGCCGGGAAGGGCGGGCGGGAGCCCCACCGCGACCTACCGTCTTGGAGTCCAGCTCGTGGTGCGGCTGAGCCAGGACTTTGTCTACACTCGCCGGATCCGCGAACGTAACGAACCCGAAGCCTCTGCGAGAGACAAAGAGCGAGGGGATGGGGGGGGAGGTGATGAGAATTAGAGGCGAGGGGAGAAGTCACAAAAATAAACCGCCGTGTCGTCCCCCCCACTCCCTTCCCCGAAGCCCCCGGGTGCGGAGGGCGGGCGGGCGGCCGCGACCCCCGGCCCCGCTCCGGCTCCACCGGCCGCTTTGTTTCCTGCTCCGGACCGGAGGGATGCGGGCGGGGAGAGCCCTCCCGCAGCGCCCCGCGCGCGGGGTGGGATGCGGGGCTGGGATTTCGGGGTGGGATTCTGGGGGGTGCGGGTCCACCCGCCCCGACGGCAACTCGCGAAGTTTGTCAACCCGAGCGGGGTGGGCGGCGGTTTTACCTGGAGCGCTTGGTGGTGGGGTCCCGCATGACCATACACTCCCTAATTTCTCCGAATTTGCTAAAATAGTCTCTAAGGCTGTCTGCGGAGAAAGAGCAGAGAGGGAGAGGAGGGTCAGCGCTGGGGGGGCGCGGGCAGGGCCCGGCGCGGCGGGACGCGGCCCACGCGGGGCGGGACGCGCGTGGGGAAGGGGCGGCGGGGGGGGTACCTGGTGAGGTTTGCCAGCTGAGGCCGCCGATGAACATCTTGCTGGAGGGAGAGAGCAGAGCGGAGTTGAGCGCCGGTGCGGGATCGGCCATTTTGACGGGGCAGCTCCCGGCGGGGCGGAGGGGCGCGGAGCGGAGCGGGGCGGGCCCGCCTCGCCGCCCCCCGCCGCCCCGCTCCGCGCCCCCGCCGCCCCGCCGACTTACCCGGGGTCGTGCTGCGCCTCTCCGGGGCTCCCCGAGGTAGCCTGGCTCCCGTCCGCCTCCATGGCCGCGCCGAGCGAGAGCCCCTGAGAGAACCCCCCCCGCCCGCCCAACCCGCCCCCCCCGGCCCGGCTCCGGCTCGGTTCGCTCCGCTTGCTGTGCCCCTTTTTTCCCTCCCCCCCTCCTCCTCCTCCTCCTCCTCCTCCCTCCGCTACCGGAGGATCTCACTGGAGAGGCGCTGGGGCAGCAGCCAGATCCGTCACACGTGGGATCGGCTTAGCTCAGCGCCGCGCCGGCGCTCCCTCCCCCCCCGCCGCCATCCTCCCCTCCCCTCCCCTCCCTCCATCCCGCCCCTCCCTCCCCTCCCTCCCGGGGGCGGGGCCGCCGCCGGCGCGTGGCCCTGTGTGACGTCACGGTGACGTCACCGCGCCCTCTCCGCGCGCCGCCCGCCTGCGCCCCGCGCGTGTCCGGGACCCGCCGGTCCCTCACAGCCCGCCCGGCTCCCCTGGGGCTGCTCCGCTCCCTCACACCCCGCTCCCTCACACCCCGCTCCCTCACACCCCGCTCCCTCATACCCCGCCCGGCTCCCCTGGGGCTGCTCCGCTCCCTCACACCCCGCTCCCTCACACCCCGCTCCCTCATACCCCGCCCGGCTCTCCTGGGGCTGCTCCTGGTCCCCGCGACCCCCGGGCTGTACCGAGGGGTGGCTCTCGCACTGAAAGTGGCGCCTCCGCGCCGTCCCCCGCTGCTCTGCTCCCCAGGCGGGTTGCTGGAGAATAATTCCAGGGGCTGTTGGGAAGCGCCTGTTGGGTGTCCAGGAAAGGGAAATTAAGTTTTAGGTGCTCGGGAGAAATTCGGACATTACTGAGAGGTGTCGTTTTTCCCGTCACCAAGCGTGGGTGCCACACTCGCTGCACCCGCACCCTGCGAACACCCCAAGTTTAACCTACAGCTTTGTGGTGCTGCTCAAAGAGAGCGGCTGGTGCCTGGTGCTCCTATGGCTCCTATCCCAGTGCCCCCATGTCTCCATGTCCCCACACCCAGGGCCACTGCATCCCAGTGCCCCTGCATCATGGGACTCCAGCATCCCCGTGCCTCCATGTCCTGGGGCTCCTCCACATCCCAGAGCCCCTACATTCCAGGGCTCCAGCATCCCTGTGCCCCTGTTTCCCTATGTCCCTGCATCCTGGTGCCACCGTGCCCCGATGTCCCACACCCTGGTGCCCCCCTTCCCAAGGCTCTGGCAGCAGCTCACCTTGGGCCCCAGCAGGCACCGCCCAGCCAGGTGCCAGTGTGTGCCCTCAGCTCCCGCATTTCACACTTAGCATTTGACTGACACTGCAGTGTGGGGCGAGAGCGGTGATGGGGCTGCCAAGTATTGGTGTAATTATCTAAGGTAAAAGCAATCAGCTTCCCATAAATTAAGGAGCACTGCGCAGGAGCGAGGGCCGCCCACCCAAAGAGACTGAGCCACATTGCCCTACATTTTCAGAAACATCCATGGATTTTGAGTACCTCCGCTCACCCGGGACCGAGTGCCTCCCAACCGAAGCCCTCCTGGCTCAGCAGCCGTGCCTGCAAGAGCTATTTTGGGGTGGCCAACTATTTCCAGCTCAGGGATTATATTTTTATTGGGGGGTGGGGGCAGCATGTGCATGTTCTTTCCAGCAGGGACTAATGAACAAGGTGGGAACGAGCAGATGTGTGCAGGGCTGGGAGGTCAGGCCCAATGGAGAAATGTTCCCCTTCATGCTCTGCTGCCGACCCCTGTAAAATGGGACATAACCCCCTTTACTGGGTTTGCTTTGCCATGAAGTGCTGAACTCTGGTTCAGCAGCAGGGCAGGCTCCGCTCCTCCAAGCGGGCAGGGAACACCCCAACTGCTCCAGCCAGGAGAGGGGCTGACCTGGCCCTGCCCCAGCGGGGTGAGCGGCACCAACCTGCAAAGGAAATGGAGGGGGGGGATTAAAGAGCAGTCTTTTTCTCACCCCTCTGAGCTTCCCTTAGATTTTAGCTATTTCTCGTAATAATCACCGGGAAATTACTAGTCAGGAGTGCAGTTCCTGCCCTTTAATCTCTCTGTCTGCAGTGCAGAATTTTAAAGGGGTTCCAGAATGAACAGGCACAAGACAGATATTGCTGATGGACAGAGGGAACTTCAGTGCAGCTGCTTATGGCTCACAAAGAAATTAGGATTTCTATACATTAAAAGGAAATCTCTGCTGTTATCCCTTCAATCAGCGAACATTACAGCTCAAATGGCTTTGGGAAGCCTTTATCGGTACGTTCTCTTTCTGGCCTCTCCCAGAGCCAAGGCTGGGTCCAGGCAGGTGCCCAGTTTTGCTGTTTCTCTGCACCCGCTGCTCTCAGGGAGCAAAAGCTGCACCCACGGCATGAGGGATGCTCCAGGGGCACGTTCGGCACCCGTGCCCACGGGTGACAAACCAGGACCCGCTGTCCTGCTCCGTGGCTGGCATGTGACAGCACCCATCCCCAAAGGTGCTGTCCCAGCCCTGATCCCAGACTTTTCTCCACCCCAAGGAGAGTTTGCAGGCTTGCCCTCTGCTCTCCTTCTCTCCGACCTCTAATGTTCGTGCTAAAAATCCAAACTCCCAGCGGACTCTGGGAAGCAGCTAATGAACTGCGAAGCTGACATCTGTAACTGCCGGTCAGGGGTAATGTTCTCCCAGGCTGCACAATTAAAAGTTGGAGCATTTATTCCAATAACAAGGAAAGTTACTGCTATTGGTACAAACCAGCCCAAATTCTCCACAGTGGCTCTGTAGACAGACCACGTCTGTCCATGTACTCACGTAGCACCGCCTCTCATTAGCAGGTTTCAGTCTCACCAATTGCCTTTCAATTTTGGCAACTCGTGTTTCAGATCAGACACTGAGATGCAGAGTTTGTTAAGATCAGCATTTTTAAGGTCAAGGTGACGTGAGATCCCAAATCTCCATGAAGACACATGGCTCCTGAGAGCCTGATTTCTGAAACAGAGAAGAGATCTTGGGCTCCTAAACCAGCTATGGCAGGTAAGTAGGCTGGCAGCTGAGCTCAGAGCAGATCCTAATTGCCCAGGCTGCAGCCCAGTGCTCTGGCTGTTTGGACATCCCATCTCTGCCGTGCAGCGATGCCAAGGGGCTGCATCCACCTTGCACTGCCTGGAGAACAAGTTCATCTCTCTGGTGCTGGAGAAATCTGCATTTATGTTTTGTATGCTCTATAAATTCAATGTCATAATAAAAAAGGATCTAAATCTTTACTGAATAATTCATTTTCACACATAGGGAAGAAATAATGATCTATATTATGTTCCATCTATCATTCAGTGAGCTGTGGAGATTGATCGGCCGGTGGGTTTTGGAAGTCCCTGGTGAGGAGCAGTGCTCTGTGGACTGGTCTGTCTGCTGCCCAGCTGTGGCTTCACCTGACAAACATTATTTAGACAGAATTACAGGGGGTGATACACTGGGGAGCTGCCAGGAAATCAAAGATCATTTAAAATGCAGAATATGTCATTGCAAACAATTGGTCTTCCTGATGCATCTGTGCCTTTGGTGTTACCCCAGTGTGTGTAGCACAGTGCAGAGACACTGGGAGATGGGCTGTGGCAACCCTGTCTTGGAGAAGATACAGCACAGAGGAGGAAAGAGATGTCTTTGGAGTCCGTGGTTTCAGACCAGTCAGGAGGGTCAGGGCTGTCCAGATACCATCCACATCTCCAGAAAGCTGGGCAAAGACTTTCTGTGTGTGTCTGGAATTCATAGTGGAGGACAGCCTTTAAAGTGCTCAGCACCCAACAGCTTTGTTGTGACGTTTGTAGACAAAATTTCAACAAAATTTCAACCCACCACTGACTTGGTGGGTTGGATATTTTTGTTTTTGTTTTATTTTAGGCTGTCTGTCCACTAACATCCACCTGCATTTCCTCATGGTGAGCTCTACACCTCTTCCCAGGTCGCCAGTCCCTCCCTTTGTTTCCAGCTGCTCCATCATCTGAAAGGAAACCACCAAACCCAACACCAAGCCCTGCCCACCCCCGGCGTTCACAGAGCCCAGGGCCAGGCACTGTCCCAGGAAAACAAACAAAACCCACTCCAGTTTGGGAGTTACTTAAAAACATGGCAGCCAGTCCCTAAACTGGAATAGGTTATCCCAGAACCAGTAATTTTAGGGAAGCAGCACTGGTTCACACCTGTTGCAAATGTGACTCTCTATTTTGGGTAGACACTGAAGTTTTTCCTGGTCAAGTTCCAGATCTGCATTTTCATTTCAGCATTTGCTAATGAAGACGTTACACTGACCTTATTAAAAACATCAGGATTTTCATCTTAACTGAGAAAGCAGCATTTTTTTCAACTGTTTCAAAAGAAGAATAAAACCCAAATATTATCAAGCCCATCTTTCATATGATAAGGGAGGAGGGGGAAGCTCTGCGAGAAAAGATTTCAAAGCCTGCTTTGTTTTCATCAGCTTTGAAATCAACAGACAGCCCTGAGAATTTTGTTTTTCAGAACCACAGTGTTTAATTCTATTTACTACTTCCAGGCAATTCTATATATACACACACTGAAAAACCCAAGCAGCTCGCTTTAAACAAATCCTCCTGCTTTTTTCAGATGTGTCATTCCTCCTGCGGGTAGGATTGCAGGATACAGATCAATTAAGCTAAAACCAAAAACAAACCGGGGAGGAGAGGCAGGGGAGGAGGAGGGTTAGTGCTGTCCCCGGGCAGTTCTCCCTGCTGGATCTGGCTCAGGTGACTGTCCTGTGGACACCTTGGCTTCATCTGAACGAGGGGTTTAGTGGGGACTTTTCCAAGGACCTTTCCCCCACTGCATTGGCTGATAGAGCAGCTGGAAATCCATCCTCCCACTCCTGTGCTTGGACATATCCAAGCACCCCAAGTTACCCCTTGCATTGTCTCTCGCTCTGGGGTAGACAGTTATGCCAAGAATCCCATTTTCTTCCCTCTCCCAAAACCAGGCTGTCTAACTTATTTCTCTACCTGATTAATTTTTACCAAAGGCCTTTAAGAGCCACTGATAAACTGCTCCCAAAGTCCAAACTAATATTATTAACTATGAATCTTCT